CATGATCCTACCTTGTAAAAAATTTGCTAGGAAAACCCTGTGGGAAAATCCTAGACAAAATAGTATAAATGTATATATATTCATGTCTCGTTAAAAACTTCACTAGGAAAACCTCGTGGGAAAAACCTAGTTGAAAAAAAGAGTACATGATATTTGTAAGAACATATATTGTACTGATTGCCTCATTAAAAACCTTAACTTAAGAAAACCCTGTGGGAAAAACTTAGTTAAGGGAAAAAGAGTACAACCAAAACCTTCCGGGCACAATCGACATAATCTTCAGGATTTTGGGGTTTGTCTACTTAAGCAATTATTTTACACCTTTTCCCCATTTACATTACTATATCATACACATGCCTCGTTAAAAACCTCACTAGAAAACCCAGTGGGAAAAAACTAGTTGAGCAAAAGAGTGCAGGATGTATGTGTATTCTTGTTTTAGATTAGCTGCCTCATTAAAAACCTTAAATTTAAGGAAAAAACCCGTGGGGAAAAACTTAACTAAGGAAAAGAGTACAGTTGTTAGTCATCTAAGACCCAATCTTCAGGATTGATTCATGTAAAATGATACTCCCCCTCAAGATACCAATCTTTAATTCCCATACATTAAATTTCTAAAAATGTATAGAGGAATTTTGTAAATAAATATATACAACTGTCAATGGAATAAATATACTCTATAATAATCTCGTGACTCTTCTGGAGTTCATGTGGTATAATATTGATATCATAATATCTAGTCAAAAAGATTTCATTATGTATCCTTTTATCATTTGTGTAACACAATCTTTATTGACCCTTTATGGGACAATGGGGATAAATATAGTACAACCAGTTTTGAAACTTGGCATTATGGGGATACAAAAATAACAGCCAGTACCCAAGTAGCCTATTGTATATTGGCTTGTCTAAGTATCCAATCAAAAATCATATATTGGCTAACTGATATAAAAAAAATTTATTCAAAGAAAAACTCGATCTTCAAGTCGAGATAATACTTAGCTTTCCTAAGCTTTTGTTTCAAAATCTTCGTCTTTAGATATGAGCTGACATTATCAAGCCCTTTATATATTTCATTGATGTTTTCCACCATCAATATTGACTTAGATAATAAATAATAAATAAGTTCATTATCAACCCTTTATCGAGCACACAATGGTACATATTATTCCTTCAATGAGGATATTAACTCCATTCGCAACCCTTTAAAGAGTAAATATAATGACACTTAAATTCTCATTTCGGGAATTATAAATCCATCCGGGATTTCTCAAAATAAATATTAACTATTTCAGGTCCTATAAAGACCTTAATATTTTAATGTGCGATTTTCACTTTTTCTCATTTTGAGAACTTAAAATCCTTCGGGGATTTTTGAATTTAATATTAGTTGCATATCTAATTTATTATTCTGCCAATGATGTAGCGGAACTTAATGCCATTTATCGTGGGAAAATATGTTTGATTAAAATCAATCAAGGGTATCTGCATGAACCCATAAGACTACAACTCGCTTTATATCATATCACCTCATTATTCTTATTTCTCTTTCGTGCACACACCCACTTGTAACCTTCGGGGTTAACTCTCAACGGTGTATTGTTATAAAGAGAATTATTAATAATTAGTGAGTCGAGCTATGCCTTAATTGCTCCTTTATACGTTAAATAGTCATGACACTTCCGGTGCATAACTCTGGATCCAGATTATCATATAATGGAGCAATTTGTACAAGCTATTGTGTTGTCGACAACTATAATACTTTCATAAATCTCTCCCATATTTATAATAGTTTATGGCAATATTCAAGTCAACCAGATTCTAAACATTTCCCAAAACTTTTCAGATCACATCTGATTGTCCCGCATCCCTAGTATTATGTTTGTTTAGTGCACCTATAAACTGACTAGGGTTTTTCGTCATCTGGACGAACGTCTCAAAGACATAATTAATCAAGGTATATCAAGAGTGACAATGTTTATTTACTAGATCTAGTATAATGATTCTTATCTCTTACACAGATAGATCTCCTACACTTCTGGCATCAAGGAGTATCGATAGATATATTTGGTCCAAATTGGGGATGGTATATGGACCTAGTCACTCTTTTATGATCAGTATGATCAATAGATGTATTTGGCAGATTATTTGCTAATATTGCAAATATATCATCTTCTGAACTTTCAGTTCAGTCTAACTAGTACATGAATAAAATAATGAATATATTTTTATTCTATGGAATTTCTTGGCATTCTATTAAATTTGAACTCTTATCTCCTCCTAATGCCGAGAAACAATCTTCATTAATTAAGTATGCAGTCAGCGTACCCAAGGATATGTATATTAGTCTCATATCATATGCTCTTGGCATTAATTAATCAAGAAACTAAGGCTTCTTTGGTAGCCTTTTTAGAGGTACGCTGTGGTGGTGATATATTGAAATAGACTGCGCACTATAAATAAAAACGCAGATAGGGAAATGTTTATTTTGAAACCATGTACTAGGTATAACAATCCTTGAGGGATTGGTTTGTGATATGCAGTGAGTTAGATTTGGATTTTAAACAAAAGTATATCCCCAAAACAGATAATTCAGTAATTTCTTCTTCACACATGCTAAAGTACTCGTGTGGATAAGAAATTGTAGTATCTAACTCATTATGTTTGCCCTCAGTGACCCAATTGGTCATGCCATAATTAAAAATTGGGTCTCTAAAATGTAAAGATTATCGCAACACAATAAGTTCTCAAAAGTATATGAAATTTACCACAAGTGGCATATAAAATCATATAGGGCAAGCATACACATTGAACAAAATGAGCGAAACATTCGACAATCTTAGGGAGATTAAACGCCAAAAGAAGTATAGATGTTGAAAAAATTATCAAATATTAACAATTTGTTTGCTTCAGGCAAACCAACATGATGTAACTCGCTTTTGGCGGTTAAGCACATAGTATTTTTGCATAGTAGCATAGCATTAAAAACAGAAGTTGCAGACTTCATTCACGAGTCATGAGTCATTGGTCACTCAAAGAACTACTACTGGAGTACAATGTGACTATCATAAATGACATGGAAGATAAAGTAACGTTATAAGTTTACCTTCTTGGCAAAACTATATAAAAAAAATATTATCCTTTTGTTTAAATACTCAAATTTCAGACTTATTTCAATGTCAAAGACTCATGTGAAACAATGCTATAATAAATTAGCGCAACCAATAAACTTGAATTTTGGACAAATAATAATTGACTTTTAAATCAATACCAAGTCAATTTTATATTTGGTGAATTTGTCCTAGTGATATTATCATATAATTAGTGCAATAAATTCGCCTTCTGGGCAAAGTTATATTCAATATTTATGCTATATATCACAATATTTAGACTCATACCATCTAATTGATATCACAAGATCAAATTAAGGTTTAGCAACGACAGGTGCAACCTAACAATGAAAAACCTTATTGAGAATTCATACTATTGTCTCACATATAAGTTGTGTGATAAATCTCAACCGTTATGGCCTATAGCAAATAATTAATTGCCAACTAGAGAAATAACAAATTCTCTTATATGAGCCTAATCGAGAGATTATATGCTAAATATTGTCAATTAAAAATAAGCATATTCAATATGTGATATAATTGTCCCTTGTGTCGTACGATCATGGACACCAAAATCTCAATTAAGTCATGCACATCCACTTTAAACAAAGAGTATCATGTGTGGTACACACAATGCATGACATGAAAAAGAGATTCTATTAATTCATAAATTAGAAAATAAAATGAGAGAAGTACCGTTCGCCAAAGGATAACAAGCACATGTTCTCTGCTGAGCCCATTCATTCCTATTTCGAGGAGTCAAAAATAGCACTTTTCCAAGCATGCTCTCATTTTATCTCATAGTTTCATACAAGTATGAAGACATCACAGAATAGCAAGATATACAAGCTAAACTGAAACTTGGCAGAAAATTTCAGAGTTTTGACCTGGATTGCAGAATTTTCTGGGGAAAAACGGTAACTTATTTTGGCACAAAATTTTGCAGATATTTAGTTCAGCAAGTCTAGAACATACATGAAAATTTTCATGCCAATCCAAGGTCTATAAGTAATTTTCCCAAAATATTTTCCAACACTGCGCCAGACAGAAAAATAACTGGCAGCACACTACCAGAACTTTACAGAATTTTTCTGGAACAACCGAAGCGTATTTTGAACAAAATCTTTTTATAGACATCAAATATCACAAGTCTAGGTTCTCAAAAAAAATTCATGCAAATTGGAGTTCAACAAGTATTTTTTACGAATTTAGTTTTGAAGTTGCATCGGTCAGAATTTTCAGGCAGTTATTACTAGTGTACAATATGACCATTGTAGATGACAATGAGACCCGCATACACCAAATATCCTTCAGGGATTGACTTAGGGTCTATAGATGCTAGAGGAAAAGTAGGCATGTTGGGTAGCTAAAGTCACATTACTAGCAATAGAAATCTGGGCATCAACGCCAACATTTTTAGTAATAAAATGACCAGTACTTGGCAAATTCATGACTAACTTGACCATGATTCAAATTAGACACTCTATCATTATAATTAACCAAAGGACTCTGCCCATTCAAGGAGCCAATAGTACGGCCAGTAGCATCATGAACAACATGAGCATACACTGCTGGAAATTTTCGTTTTTCCGACCTCTTTTCCGACCACTCGAAAAATTGGTTACAAAAACTGGCTTTTTTTCATTTTTTCGTCTTTTCGTCAAAGAGTTACTGCAGTCGGAGATTCGTCGAAAGTTTCGACCACTTTTACGAAGTGGTCGGTATTTCCCGGAAAATTTTTGCCAATTTTTAAAACTGATCTCATTTGCCGACCACCAAATACGGTGGTCGGAAGTCTTTTTTTTTTTTTTTCGAAAACGCAAACAGGCCCAAAATACATTTATAATTTATTAGCTCTTTTGCACAGCTGCCCTAGATCATTTACGCTGATGAAGCCCTCGATTCTCTTAGTATCTGCGATCTAAACCTCTCCTCAATTGACTACGCAGATTTAAACCTTCTCCTACCCAACTCTTTTCCTTGAACGGCCACACCTTCTCCTCCCTTGCTCTTCTACCGATTGACGACGCCTTCTCCTCCTTAGTTCTTCTCCTCGATCGACAACGTCTTCTCCTCCTTAACTCTTCTCCTCGATCGACAACGCCTTCTCCTCCTTAGCTCTTCTCCTCGATCGACAACGTCTTCTCCTCCTTTGCTCTTCTCCTCGATCGACGACGTAATGGTTAGGGTTCTGTATTTCTTAATCTATTGTTAGGGTTCTTTATTTTATAATCTATAGTTTTTAGTTATTTTTCATATAATTAGGGAGGTATAAAAGAACAAAGCTCTGATTCGAAATAATTAGGGCATTGGCCTTCACTTCAAATTGGGGAAAATAGCTTCTTCAGGAAAATCTATCAGGCATTCAGGCAGGCTATCTATGATAGAGAATCCAGAAAATAGTATGTATGACTTTCTACTTGTATTGATACATGCATTTTGCTATAAAAAAAAAAAGATGAGGATTATATATATGCTATAAAAATGTGGATGATGAATATGTTCTAGAGTGAATTTTACTTTTGACATTTAAGTTACGTTGTGTTTGTGGTTTATACAAATGGTTTGCACTTGAGTTGGGATGATATATATGTTTATTATTGGTTGTTTTCCTTTGGTTTAATGACTAAATTTACACTTATCCTTTTTATTTTTCCCTGAAAGGCTTTGAGTACAATAAACATTGGAGAAGAGTCTGAAAAGCTAAATGGTTGGGTTGTTTATTTTAATTTGGAAATCGAATATGGAAATCCTCCATAGGTATTTGGGAACAAAAATGTTCGATGTTGTTAGATTCTTCTTTTAAGTCTATTTTTTTTTCTCTTTTCCTGTATGTGCTTAGAAATGTGATCCTCTTCAGGAAGCGGTTATGAAAGTGTTTCAAAGAGCATTGCAGTATTGTGATTCGAAGAAGGTGCAGCTGGCTTTATTGGGTGTGTATGAGCGGACTGAGCAGCACAAGCTGGGTGATGAGCTGCTAGAGAAAATGGTGAAGAAGTTCAAGCATTCCTGCAAGGTAGTGATGCCTGAAGCCCTGAAATGACTTGCGAAATCTCGTGGTTATGCTCTACTTTTATTGTTTGTAATTATTAATAGTATTTTTATTGTAATTATTCATTCAGGTTTGGCTGAGGCGTATACAGTGGGCATTAAAGAAAAACCACGACAACAGTTAGTCTATTGTAAACTGTGCTCTCGTATGTCTGCCCAGGCATAAGCACATAAAATTTATAACACAAACAGCAATTCTGGAGTTTAAATGTGGGGTGGCTGATAGGGGAAGATCCATGTTTGAAAAAATGCTTAAGGAGTATCCAAAACGAACCGACTTGTGGAGTGTTTATCTTGATCAGGTATGCTCGTCTCGTCTCGCCTCTCCTCTGAAGCTTTATATATATGTATCAAAGTTTTTGTTATTCAATTCACTTGAAAAGGCAGCAGTGTTTGTTTTGTTTAACAATTATTTTTGTTTCAAGGCTTCCATAGGAATATGTTTAAAAAGGAAAACTATACTCAAAGATATGTCAGTGTTATTGTAAAATGGGTCTCTGCTAATTTCAATGCATTTTAACTTTGGAAAACATACATTTTATCCAAGATCAGGAAATGATGTAATGTTGTGTATAATAGACATTTACATATTTGCTTCAGCTGTTATAGCACTAATAAATAACATCCACATTTATCTTTCTAGATCTGAACTTGGGTTAGATCTTGAGTCTGACATAAGCTCGATGTATCATATTGAACAAGTTGTCAAGTGTAGAGTTGTCAGTTCTAGCCCTGCTTCAAGACGAATTGTCCTCAGTTTTACAACAAGACCAATGAGGTTTGTTTTCCTTGGTTTATATTTAAAATTAGACAATACACTTGAGTTAAGATGTGTTTGTGGTTTATACAAATGGATTGATAGAAAACTGAACATTGTTATGTTGTAGATGTAACCTTGATTTCTATTACTGATCGAGTTGGGGTGGTGAATAATATATATATATTTACAATAACATCTTTTATGATATGATCTTCTGGATATGTTAATAATTATATATATATATATATATATATATATATATATATATGTGCAGAACATCAAAGGAGGAAAGGAGGTTTTTGATAGGGAATTATAGGGAGAGTAATGGGCAAAAGAGCAATGTGGCACGTAGTTTCACCTTCAAGGAACTCGCAATAGCCACCCAAAATTTTAAGGAATCCAATCTACTAGGAGAAGGTGGGTTCGGGAGCGTGTACAAAGGAGTCTTCGACTCCCAATTGGCAAACAATCCAAGCATATCATATAGCTAGCTAGTTTGATATTTTTGTTGCATGTGGTGTTTTATATATATATATATATATATATATATATATATATATATATATATATATATATATATTTGCTTGTTTTCCTTTTAGGTGCAAATGACTTCTACCTTTGCTGGCATGTTTTCAGCTGGTTCATTGGCTCCTCCTAGCAGCTGCATGAAGGACAACAGGCTTGCAATTTCTTCAAGCTCATTTGGGAGGAGGAAAAATATTGTTCTATGCAAAACACGCCCTTGCCAAATAACAGCTGCAGCCAAGGAGTTGTATTTCAACAAGGATGGATCAGCTATTAAGAAACTCCAAGTAAGTATTGTTTTGACTATGCTTGTGGATTTTTTTTTTTTTTTTTTTTTGTGTGAATTTTTCTGGACTGTTGTTAATGTTATTTTTTGCTGTTTCAGATTGGTGTTAATAAGCTTTCTGATCTAGTTGGGGTCACATTTGGTCCCAAGGGAAGGAATGTTGTTCTTGAGAGCAAGTATGGTGCTCCAAAAATTGTCAATGATGGAGTTACTGTGACTAGAGGTATATATGATCTAAACTAGTACTCTGTTTTTTTAGTAATGGTGCATTCTGCTTTATTATGTTTAGCAATTAAGTTTATGTTATCAAACTCAGGTGTTTTCCACATTTACGAATTGTACATTAAAATTTTTTTCCGAGTAATAAAAATGGATTTGGTTGGCACTGTAACAAATTATCCCTATTGTTTTCCATTTACTGATGGGTATTGGTGATATATTTTTGGTCTGTCCCATTATTTTTCTACACTGTAGACATAGATATATTTCTGTCCTTTTTTTGGTTCTGAAGTAAGTTAAGTGCAATAACTCTGATTATGATAATCTCTTATAGGTTGAGCTGGAGGACCCTGTGGAGGGAACATAGGTGCTAAGCTGGTAAGACAAGCTGTTGCCAAAACCAATGACTTGGCAGGTGATGGGACAACAACATCTGTTGTTCTTGCACAAGGCCTAATTGCTGAAGGTGTCAAGGTATATATGAAAAATTCATAGGTTGCTAAGTTGCTTCAAATTATATGGACATGCTGTAAGTCATGGAACTCTTTTTATACAAATTGATATTCTGTTTGCAGGTTGTTGCAGCTGGTGCAAACCCTGTCTTGATCACTAGAGGAATTGAGAAGACCACAAAAGTTTTAGTGTCTGAGCTGAAAAACATGTCAAAAGAGGTAAAGAAGCTAACACTTGTGCCAAGTGATTGATATTGTCCAGCTTATATTTGTTTACCAAAGATGTAGTAGTAGTAGTAGAAAGGGTTAAAAGGCAAATGGCAAACCAAAACTGTGGGTTACATTTCACCATACTTTGTAACTGATAGTGAGAAAATGGCTGTTGAATATGAGAACTGTAAGGTAAGTGGTTTTCTTTGAACTTCAATGTTCATTAATTGTTTAAATGCATGTCTCTAGTACGGTTTGTTGATATGTAATGATGAGTATGTTGATATGCATGTTCATTGCTACAAAACCTTATTAGCATGCATGTTTAGCTAATATTTTGACAAATGTATTTTTGATGGTGAAACAATTGCTACTTCTTGATTTAAATGATTGACTAATGTTTAATTTTCTTAAATTGTTAATTGTATTGTAGAATTTAATATTATGGTGCTGAAATTTGTATAATTGTAACAGGTTTAATTCATTTGATATTTGTAGAATTTTAATTTTTTTTTTTTTTGTTAGTAAATCTTACCTGGTCGGTAATTCAAATTTTTTAAATTTTTTCTTTGTAAATCTTACCGACCACCGGTGGATGGTAATTCCGACCAATTACCGATCAGTAGTGGTAGGAAATATGCTCTCTTTATCCGACAACTAATAGTTCCGACCTCCTAGTAAAGAAGTCGGTATTTCCGACCACCATAAGTAGTTGTCGGTGACAGCGAGGGTGTTTTTTCCGAATCCATAAAGTGGTCGGTAAGTTGGTCGGAAACTGCATTTCCGACCGGAAATCTCCCTTTTCCGACCACTTTTTTGTGGTCGGAAAAATGCAGATTTCTAGCAGTGATATATCACTAACCAAATTATGAAGAGCATGATTAACACCAACATTATGAGCATTATTACCACTATCAAAAGCATGAATATCTGCAGAATAAGCAGTAAAAAATGGGAGTATTTCGACCATTAACACAAACACCATTATTAGCAACAATGCTAGCATTGGAATGACCAACACTTGAGGCCAAGACACTGCATTAGTTGCAAAAATAAATTTTAACACATAGATCAACCACTGATATCATCATCGAAAAATTCTTCGCACAAACATTACGTAAATAACAAGGATTAAAAATACCGTTCACCCACGATATTAGTCCTCAAAATCTTCTGCTTTGGAATTCTGGTGAATCTGTGCATCCCTCTGAATGTTTGTGGTGTCACTCATTATAACCTGACAAGGCTTAAATCACTGCCTTGCGGCATTTTTTTTTTATGAATGCTGGTGTTGGCTATGTGTAGATTGAGCCCCAGGCAAGGTGACTACAATGCTAGTAACTAGCCGCGACATCATTCATCAGCCCAGTCGGACAGAAAACATGGACTGAAACACGTCTGCTGCTGCGAAGGAAACACCGCCACTGGACTGCGAAGGCCGATCGCCAGGCGTGACATAACTGATCTGGTGGTGGGCTGCGACGCCACCTCGGGCGTGACCGGCATCCTTGCTAGTCTGGATATCCTCGGAGAGAAAAACCGATCTGAAGTGCGGAGAGAAAGGCGTCCTGGTCACCGGACTGCGAAGTCCGGTCGCCGGCTGCTACGCTTCCTCTGTCGCGACCGGCGATTGATCTAGTCTTGTCTCCGGCGGCGATTAGACGGTTGCAGGCCGGCTATTCACCCCTTCCACCATCGCAATCCGTCGCTCATCCATCCCAATATCATCGCGATCCGCGATCCGCGATCCACGATCCGAAGATCGGCAGTCTCCTGCGACATCTCGCGATTGTACCCGCTTTTGACGTCTCGTGGCTTTTCGTCAACAATCGACGTTGCTACCGTGTTTTGGAGGTCGGAATTGAAGTCGGAGAAATTGTGAGATTGATCGGCAATTGCAATTTTGGGTAAAGCATCTCGTGCTGATAACGTGTTATAAGAATATCATAATAGAGAATAGAGAGATCAGGGAAGGAAGGCCAGAGACTTTCTCATTCATCAGTAGTATTCATATACAAAGGTATCACCAATTATAAGGTAATAACAATACATATAAAAGGTAGTTACCTATCAATTACAAGTACTACCATATATATAATAATGTCCATATTAATATTTACAACAGTTATTAGTTATTACCATCTCACAATCGGTATACTGTGCACCACGGCGCACATAGCATTGTGCATCCTACGCCTCCGAAAATAACGTCGTTTTGTTAAGTTGTTAAAAAAAAAATCCTCTGTTTTGAATGTACATAAACTCATAACAGAATACACATAATCTATACATAATACATATAAACTTTTAACTGAATACACATAATGGGGTTTGGTTAACATAATACATATAAACTCTTAACTGAATATACATAAACTCATAACACAATACACATAAACTTTTAACTGAATACACATAATGGGGTTTGGTTAACATAATACATATAAACTCTTAACTGAATACACATAAACTCATAACACAATACACTTATACACATAAAATTTTAACTAAATACACATAATAAGATTTGGTCTGTTCTGATGGACGAAATGACATCAGCACGAAACGCGCGCATTTGTGCCTGGGTGCACGATATAAATTGACACCATCTCGCGATGCCATGAAAATATGTGATAAGATACATCAAAATTCATATGCAATCTTAAAATGATGATCAATTAAAATTTGTATTTTGCAATTCATTATAATTTGATAATTTTAATTATCATATTTGAAATGTAAACACATTTAATAAAATTTAATATTATTCACAAAATAAAAAAGAAACAAAGAATAAAAGAAAAAGATATTACAATATATATTCCCTCGTTGAATCGTAAGTATCTATAATGGCCCGTTTTGTTTACAGAATAATTTTGGAAGGAATATGAATGTGATTTAATAGGGAATGAAATAGATAAAGAATAGAATAGAAATTATATTTTGTTGTTTGGAGGGTGTCGCAGCTGTAGCAGTGTGTGTATGTATATATATTGGTTTTTTTTTAAAGAATTTGTCGAAATTTACTCTTGCATTGCATAAGGTAATGATCGTCGACTCAATAGCCATTGAAAGAGATACTGGGATATAATGTCCCATTCCAATGAGAAGCGGCCTCTGGAAGGGTTCAAAACTGTTAGAGAAACTAAAACGCATTCAGGGAATGGTCCAAATGCTCCGGTACTTATTAATCATGGTGAGTCTTAGCTTGTTTCTTTCGATCAGAAATTAGGGAACAAGGTGTTGGAAAAATAGTATTAAAATGACATTTTAAGTGACTATTTTGTGGTACAATAATTAGTGGGGTCCAGTTTTGAAATGAGTCGGATCAAAGTGGATTTGAGTTTTTCATAGTGAGACGAAAAGATTGATATATTGTACGCTCAAAACGGATAATGTGTGAATAAGATATTGATTTCCAAAATAGACCCATTTGAGTTGGAAAAAAGAAGGGAAAAATGTAGCTTTTGTCCCACATTGGTTTGAGAATTGGATTTGCACCACTATTTATACAAGAGATCCTTGAAAATTTATTAAATTGTATAGCATAGATGCTTTCTTTTGTGTACAAAGTCACTCTAGTGGCGCCAAATCGTCAGTCTGCTCGCCCATTGAGGTATTTTGGTTTGGTTAAAAGGAAAAAAAACTTTTGTTAAACTTTTTTAGACACTTTTAGTTTTTTCTTATGACTTTCCCTATTTTTAATAAGGGTATTTTTGTGTATTCATATTTTTCTTTTGTTATTTTTCATGTTTCAATGAGTTTAATTGATTTAGGACTTTACTAAAAATTGGTTGAAAATTATGGTTACTAAAAATCAGAGGTTACCTAAAGTTCTAAACCAAAAATAAAAAATATAACAAAAGAAAAATATGAAAAGACAAAAATTCTCATACCAAAAATAGGAAAAACCATGAGAATGACTAAAATTGTCCAAAAAATAATAGTTGGAATGTTAAATGTCAAAAATGATAGTATGGGACTAAATTTTGAATTGCCACAAAAAACAAAGTACCAATGGTGGAATTAACTCTTTATTTAAATATTGATTGTCACTCTTTTATCAAATAAAAAGTTTTGTCAATTATTTTGTCACCAATTTTTTTTCCATAATTAACTGATATTCTTTTTATTTACTAATTAACTGAATATTTCAAAATTTGAGATCAGAGATAAAGAGGAAACCAAAATCACAAATATTTTAAAGTAGCAAATGTACATCCAAAGTGTAAACCAATAATAAAATGAACAATAAATCACTAATTAATTAATCAATGTAACTAATAAAACTAAAGCATATATCTCAAATTTGAAGATTTTTTAAAAATAGTGAATTTGATTATTTAATTTATTTCTTTTTATTTAATGAATTTGAAGTTTAATATTTCGTATACATTTAGAGTTCACTTAATATAAACAATTTTTTTTTTTTTTTAAATAGAGGGGGCCAAAAGTGTAGTTTACCCTTATAGCCCCTCCCGTAATGGATATATGGTTTTCGCACATCTGTCCATCGCTAGTACTTCGAATCGAGGGAGGGAAAAAACAACTAAATTACATATTTACTTCGACTTAACGGTGTCATACACTAACGGGGAACCACATGTCCGTTACGGGAGGGGCTATATGTGCACCGTTTTAATAATTGAGAGACAACATTTACACCACTCATAATTTAGGGATGACATTGATAATTGACATATTATAGAGAGACATTTTTTACAATTTTTCCTTACATAAATATACATATACATATTTACTACAACTTTTGGGGGGAGTGGGGGTTGGCAAATTATATCGTGTACCAGGGTGCACAATGCATTGTGCACCCTGGCCCAAAACAACGTCGTTTTTATAAGTTGGTAGGGAGTTGACGCGACGGATACCGTTCTGTCCGTCCAACCATTACAGTTTTATTTTTTATTTTTTGTGTTTATGTGTATTATGTTAAGAGTTCATGTGTAGTATGTTAAGAGTTTATGTGTATTATGTTAAGAGTTTATGTGTATTTTACTATAGAATTCTGTACATACAAAACATGAAATTTAATTTGTAAGGCGCACGATATAACAATTGGTGGGGGTGGGGTGAGGGGGTGATAAGGCCCCTCTACTCCCAAATGTAGCTCCGTCCCTATATGTATGTATACCAATATATATAATATTACTAGTTTAGTATTATAAATATTTTTTTAAAAGAATTTAT